TGCAGTGGACGCTGATGCAGCCATTTGTATGGCGGAAGAGTTTGACCAGGTGGATGATGTGCTAAAGATCGTCTACAGATTGCGCCATAGCGAGAGCACCTGCCAAATGCTCCCATCAACCGAATATGCGCTCGTTCGGCTACTGCTCAAGCATCGCGCTATTGATACCCTTCTTGCCGTTCTTGCAGATCCTGTACGTCTCACTGTTTTTTTTTTCTTTTATAATCGATGCATTAACTAGTTCATATTATGGATGCTAAGATAAAATTATCGGGAGCGCGGATGAATAGCTGTACAAAATTACGCAGTTTTATAGGTCTTCTGGAATTATCGTGTAATTTTACAAAGTTATTGCGCATTTTCTTAAGTTCTCGTGCGTTTTTGAGCTCGCACAACTATAAAAACGCATAATGAAGAAATCATGTCTGTGTATATTCTTTTATGTGTAGGCATGTGTGTCTGTGTGTATGTATGTATGTGTGTATGTATATATGTATGTATGTGTGTATGTATGTATGTATGTATGTGTGTATGTATGTATGTGTATGTATGTAAGTATGGATGTATGTATGTGTATGCGTGTCATATTTTCACTTCCCGTGATCGGGTTAGCTGAAAAAACGAAATTTTGGAGGTTTTGTCACTGGCCTTGTAAATGAAGTGGAGTTTAACGTTAGCTTTTTAATTTCACTAGTTCTCGGGCTGTGACCTTGTAATGGAAACCGGATTTACGTGCATGTTGCGAATCGCGAATTTTGTACTTAAAGCATGTTTGCAAGTTTCAATCCCCAAGATAAGTTTGCCCGAAAATCGCATCGCTACGCTGTTTTCCTGGCACGCATTGGTATTCGTGGCAAATTAATTTATGTGATTTGCGTAAATTTTCGGAGTACAAATTTCAAATGGCTTCATAAAACAGTTACATAGTTTGCGCATTACGATTCTGCATGGCTTTGCAAAGCGGAATGTTATGCTTTCCTTTTATTCATTATCTTTTAGATCAACTACGGGATTTTCTTGAATGAGCACTCAGCTTGCTTACTCATCGATCATCTTCTCGAAGATGGCAAAATTGCAGGTTAGTAAACAAGGCCGCCCTCTTTTGAAAAGTCCATTTTTCTGCAGTGGCGTACTCAGTTGATGTAAGAAAATAGCTTAATGCAAACTTATCAAAATGATGCCTTCATCCTCACACGTTTGGCGAGGATGGTGTAGTGCACTTTTCGACAAACCTTTGCAAAACTGTATTTTCCTTTCTGCCTTTTTCTTAATACAGTGAATTTAGTGATCCAAACTGGAACTCTGTATCTCTTTAGCAGAATTTTTTACGTTGTATTATTTAAATTTTATACTTGACTTGTTATGTCCTGCAGCTCTCGAAATTTATTTGCGTCATTCAATTTGACATTAATGCGCGACGATTTGACATCCACCATTCCACTGCTAAGGAGGATTTCTTTTGATCCTCTTCACTGCTTACGCATTTGTTGTACATTTTGACAGTCAGTCGTTGACAGTCAGCTGTTATTCGCATTTCGTCTAGCACCTTCTTTATTTTCTTGTTTTACATACGCTTGTTCAAAAAACTTCGAAGCAAAAGATGCTTTAGCCGCCTCTTTATGCCAGACACTGCTCTGATGAATGGTATGCAGAATACTGCTACAGTCTCGAGGAATATTATATTTCGTGAAAATGTTTAACTATTCGTTAAAAATTATATAACATTCTACTCACTTTGCTGCCAGCGCTGGGCATTGAGCACCACGAAGTAGAACTCTCGAGAAGGAAGCTGCAGTCCAAGCAAATTCCAAAAAGAGGGCTGCGTGCACAAGATGCAGGAGTGAGTAGTGATCGATGGCTTAGGACAGAAGAGTCTGGCACAGCTACGCCGTGCGTTTAGCACTCGGACCTTCGTAACCTTGTTATTTTGCTTTCAACAAATTACTGCGCTTAATGCCACAAGAAATAAAATTTTTCTAATTTTGCAGAAGCATCTCGAGCGGTCAGCTGTGTGATGTTGCAGGAGCTATTCAGTTCAGGACTTCTCAACTGGCTTTGCGTTTACACTGCGCTGAAATGGACTGAGCTGCCTGCTGAACAAAGAGTGTTCACGGAATTGCCACAGCTGAAAACAGTGC